TGCCCGTATTTCAGTAATGTTTATTTTTTATTATTGTCCCAGGTCCGTTGAATGTGAGTGTTGGCATTCAGTTCGTCTCCGTCAGAAACCGAGATAGCACCAATTATCCATAGGTAGACTACTGTACAGCACAATTAGTAACACTTGGAACAGTTCGTTTATCTGTCTGGTTTCGAAAACTTTACCAATCTGAAAAAACTTCTATGGCTGTTTGATGTTTCCATTCTCATTTTTTTTATATAATTCGCTTCCTTTTAACAAATAGGGAGTTCATAGTTTCAACACCTATGTTTCCCTCAAATAAACTGAAACTGAATACAGTCGTCGTCCAATCGTTCGCTCTCAAACACTTATGCTGTCGTAAAAACGTTTTTCTTCTTCCAACTAACCGCTAGGACACGTGATATTAGGACTAAAAAGTTGGCTAAACTACCACCGCAAAGGGCTTCTCTTGAGCACCTGAAAACCACTCTTTGCAATATGAGGGATGACTCCGCCACCTGCAAGAAGAACCTCCTCACTGAGATTGCTTCTGCTGATTACGAACTGTACTATGCTCACTGGCAATGGCAAATAACCCGAGAACTCCATATCATTGCCTACTTTGTTGGAAGTACAGTTAGTGACCTAACTCATGAAGGGTGTCGAAATTTACGAATGATTGTCAGTCACTCGCAAACCGACATCATTTCATGATTCCAATGTCTATGTTAATTAAGTACAAGTTTAAAAGAATTAAAAACATATAAGAAATATTAAAGGCGGTGTTGATTTGTTTAGAGATGCCGATTTTTTTTTGAAAAACGCCATATCGCGAAAACGTCAGAAATGGCTCTAATTTAGTAAACTTCGTTTTTAGGTGTATGGAATGTATTTTCATAACAAAAACGTAGTAAATATGAGAGTTAACATAAAATAACGTCTAGTAGTAATGTTTCAGTGCGGTTTATATCTAAATATCATTTAATAATTAGTGTGATTTCATAGATTGTAGATTCTAAAACAGTTTTTTAGGGTTTAATGTTATCCTTGACTCCTTTGAGTTAAATGAGATGGGGTTGAACAAGAGAACCCGGATTTTTCTTGAGTTCACCAATGGGGACATCGTAGGAACAAACGTTTTCAAAGGTAACATGCTTTGAGGCCAGTCGGTGCCTAAAAAATTTAAATAGAACTGACAGACGTGATCGCAAACATACCATTTTGTGTTTATAAAGAGAAATTCTCTTCCGGAAAATTAATTTATACTTTTCCTTCGTTTTGGATTACGTTGAGTTTCAGATCGGACTCGAAATGTTACTGAATACTTCATGATTTTCAATGTTTTCACCTGGTCGTCCATAAAGGCAAATTCTGAATTACCTGTCTGTTGAGGACTTTAAAATAAGATAATTGCTGAAGACATTTACCGAATTATTGAATGTTCGGCCATTTCTTTTCACGAAGATGGTCGTTTATGTCACATGTGAAAACTCATTCAAACATCAAACTTCATTTTCGAGAAAAGTGGCTGTCCACAACGAAAGTCAGCAACGAATATGCCTTCGATCAGTAAAAAAACTTCCCTTTATAAGTTACCTTTTTAAGAAGTGCTTTATTACTGCACTCCGTTTACGGATCTCTGTGTACTTTGCATTTTTGCACGGTGAGGCCAAGTAAAAATTTGACACTTTTGGCCGTTTCTCTCACGTTCCTAAAAATACTTACATTTTTCTACCGTAAACGTAAGAACATGCTTTGCTCTATACATTGACGCCATTTTCACTGTTTTTGCTCGCTTTTAGACTCGGTTATTCGATTATAAATGCACGGCAGAGCGCCCACATAAAGACTGATATTTTGCTGAAACTATTGATGTTTTGCTCGTTCTATTTCTGACTAAGGTATGTAAAGAATCTAAACTACACGACAAGTAGTGTTTCACATGTTCAAAACTGGAAATGACCATTCGATGGTGGTCATTTATGTAACATCATACTCTATCGAGCCTAACCTGAGGCTCTAAGGGGGCATGAGACTTCGCATTGCGCAATACACTCAAATCAAACCGACTGAAGGCATCACTACAGCCTTTTGCGGTAATCGTGCAGTCAGACAGGTGGAAAAGCCCACTTCTAAATACTTGTATCATGCTGCACAGAAATTCACACTAGGGCTGAATTAACCTGTTATACCTCATCATTTGACCTCAGCGTCCTCCCATTTTACCCAAAACCTGAACGATGCGTGGATCTCGCCTCTGCTTTTAATCTTTTTTAGTCATACTGCCCCGCACACCGTGACGTGCATTTACACATCCTATCTTGAGCCCTATTTAGTGCCAGCAAATTCGAACCAGAAATCTGTTTAGTGTCCCTTCGACTGTGCCGAGACTCGCGTCATTGACACACAGCAATTAACGTCAACGATGTCGTCTTCCCCAACACGTCCTTCGTCCTGCCCGAAGCCTAAAAGGTCATGTCAAGCACAAAATCAACTTTCGAAGACAATTCGCCCGATGAACAACAACGTTCAAATGTCAGGGGTCAGTGTGGTATATCAAAAAGTACTTTTTAATTTCGTGATTGCATGGTGTTACGAATACTGTTTTCAAAATGCAACCTTCAAAACCGAAGTGGAATTTACTTCGTACCACGCGACTTATTTCAGGCAGTCGAAATTAATGGTTTAAAAAGGCCTGCTTATTTTTTTAACAGATTAGCCCACCAGGTGCCAGCACTTTGCTGTTAATCAAGGCAACGTCAAAAACGTATTGAGATAATTACAACAAATGCATGCAGAACCGACGGAATACACCGTGAGCATGCTGTGGTCGGTCGTATAATTCACTTTAAGTCCCACTTTGCAGCACGGATAAACAGTTAACAAAACAGTCAAGTAACTATAACTTCTGGTCACTTATGAGGAAACTCACTCCACCCATCCTAAACCCAAGCTTTTGTGCTAGCGAGTCGTTAATATGCCTCGATCAACTTTAGCAACTTCGTTTGAATGGCTTCAGACTGTATGACCTCCCAGAGAACCTTCTGGAGACTGACTCGAACGGTTCAGAAAAATCAGGTAAAAAGACCAGTGTCTTCCTCTGAAAGACATATCTTTGTTCCGGGTCCAATTTCGAAATGTTCAAATGGCCAACGTATCATTTTTCAGAATGGCACTATTTTCACTGCCCCTTGACATGGAAGAACACATTTGGGAACGGTCAGTTAGACATGGGTATCTAAATCGTCAACCACCGCTTTTGTCTCCCTCGTTGGCAAGGACCAGATATGTGTGGCCACTGTAAAAATGAAGCACAGGGATTCCTGTTATATGGTAATGACGTCAGTAGTTGGCATTTTGACGCGGCACTCGACGGAATCTGCGGAAGGCATTCAGGAAAATCACAATGGTAGAGAGACGCTCCTGATCGTTCTTAGGAACTCACTCGTTCCGTTGTGCCTTACGGGCTCTCCCTGGAGCCAAACCAGCAGCCGCACAGCGACAAATTATATAGGCGGAATGATTTATATTGACCCAACTGTGAAAAACTCGGTGCCTCGGTGGGATTCGAACCCACGCAGTAAGGGGAAGGCTTTAGTACAGCCAACGCTTTTACCACTTGAGCTACGAGGCCCCGCCGGAAAACGCGAGTTTAATCGCATTTGAATAGGCGGAATGGTATTACCAACAAAGACAAGGGAGACTGGAATAGCCATTTCTGGCTTATTAGCCGTCGTCAGCCAGTCAAACCCAACTCCGAAGTGTTGAAAACCTGGGGACCGAAATCGCTACCTGTTAGTTAGAAATCCAACGCCTCTAACCACTGTGTCACGGACTCATTGTCCTCTATCACTGTATATTCCTGATCGAAACCGAGAGGACAACGGGCCCGTGGTCCGGTGGTTAGAGGCGTTGGACATCTAACTCACAGGTTGCGGGATCGAGCCCCAAGTGTTCCACAATTCGGGGTTCGGTTATGACTAGCTGAGGACGGCTAATAAGCCAGAAATGGCCATTGCAGTCTCCCTTGTCCTTGTCGGTGATAAAAAAACCCAATTTTTTCAATGTGTGTGGCCAACCACTTCAGCGGGGGTGGAAACGGACCGCGCAATTTGAAAGGTTCGAATTAAGAGCCCGTAAACGGGCGGCAAACGGCTAATCCGAGGTTACTTGTTAACAGTAGCCGAATTTGGTAAAACAGTATGTGGTAGGCTAACTTAACCCTACCCTTAATCCTAACCCTTAGCTTTGCGCAGACCTTCAAAATTTACTTAAGTCCAAACGCAACCTCAAACCCAGCATGGCTTATCTACCCTAATTAAATAAGTAGGCATGTTTTCGCGGCAAAATTGTAGACCTATGTATCCAACAGTCGACAAATCGTTGGGTACCAAAGATTTATGCTGTTGTAAAAACGTTTCCCTTCTTCCAGCTTACCACCCAGGCACTCGAAAGTACGACAAAAAAGTTGGCTAGACTACCATCGGGACGGACTTCTCTTGAGTCCCTGAAGACCACTCTTTGCAATATGAGGGGCGACTCCGCTACTTGCAAGGAAAACCTCCTCACTGAGATCACCTCTGCTGATCACGAACTGTACTATGCGGCCTACTACTCGCTCGAAAGAACCAAACTGACCGTCACGGTAACCCATGCTGAGGAGCTCAGCAGGTTAAAGAAACTTCGAAGGGAATTGGCGAAGTTGAATCGGAGACGGGCTGACTTACTTCATGCGACAAACGATGAGGAAATGGTAATTTCCAAGGAGTTTTTGCACATGAGTTCTACGATATTTCTTTTATCATGCCGACATAACAGAGGCGGTAAACGCCATGGCTCGCGCTTTAATTAGACTGTTATGTTGGAGGCTTGTGCAGTTTCAGCCATACACGTGCCATCGAAGCTCGTTGAGTGTGATTGGGGTTAGTGCGGGTGCGATGGCCTGCCTACGTTTCTACTGCCGTTTCATGCACATAACAACCTTAGATTCTTGCCAAACACCCTGTATTGCCTTATGATTGTATTGCAGAGGCCTACTCTAGCGACCGCTTCTCCATTTTCAGAACGCTGCTGCCTTGAAGGAAGTGGAACGGTCTGCAAAAAAACTGCTTGAATGCGTCAAAATCTTGCAACAGACGGCGGTACTCTGTGAAGATTCTAGCTTTGATAAATTAAACTTAGCTCCAGGTTTTGCATCGGTACGTCTATCAGACCTGGAAATACTTTTATTCGGAGTCGATATGGCTGGCATATTTGTAATCTTTTGCTGGTATCTCCACCTAATTGCGCATACTATTTCTTGGTAAACACTTAATATCCATGCGCGTTAATTTTGTCAGATAACTGTTTATCAATCCATTTGTAAAAGTTCCTGATCCCCAACACGTACCCCTAACATTAACCCCTAACCCTAACCTCTAACACGTGCGGGTACGAAATAAGATCTTACCAGTTGGGGGTAAGGAAAGGAGGTTAAGGGTTAGGCTCGGGCTTGTCTACTGCAGGTATGGCAACGAAATAGGATCCGACAAAAGTGACATCTGTTTGTTATGTCATGTTGAGGCTATAGACGAATGTATCCACCAAAGTCAGGTTTTTTCCAAAATCTTTGGGGTAATTATTAGTATTTAAGAAAACCCCAAAAGCAGAAGAACCTAGCATAGTGAAATTGTTGTTTTCGCATATTTTCCTGACGAAACCTAAAGACAGAATAACCAATGCAAGTGGAATATCATCCGGGCAGAATAATTTAATGAGAAAGAGTAAGGAGGAATGGAACTGTCATTTCTGACTTTTTCACTGTCGCCAACTAGCCACATTCAACTCCGAGGTATGCAACCCTCTAGGCTCGAACTCGCGACCTGTCGGTTTGAAGTCCATCGCCCGAACCATTAAGAGGTGCGCTCAACGTTCGTTATCGGAAGTAGTCAAGCTGGCGTGCGCACAGAATGGGATCGTGCAATATTCCAACCCCGACTAGTGGGGGTCACACGCCCACTGGACATTTATGACAATTTCAACAAACTGATTTTAGGCCGAAATTTAAGCAAAACTAGCAGTTCTGAGGTTGTTAACACGAATGAGCTCATCTACGGGGGAGGGAAGTCGTAGACATTCGGCAGATCATTTCTTACTCCTAACAAAACAAATTGGCCACTTATTGCGGTCATAGCTGGAACGATCAGGTAATCCTCGAGTTAGCATTTATGCCACCCATCTGCGACAGCCTGCGCACAAAGAACACCATTCAGTGAACAAATACTAACCTGTGCTCGATCGCACACTCTCGATAAGCCGACTGCAGGTAGTCCTGGAAGTCCAAAAGTTAATGAAAGTGAACCCGAAGGCTGGTAACCTAATAGTAGATGGGCTAACTCATGAAATGTTGACCGAAATTTCGAAATGCATTTTCGTTTCGAGAAGACTACTTAGAGTATGTGGGCTAACTCACGCAATGTCAACAGAAATTCTGAAATGCGTTTCCGTTTCAAAATGATTAATTAAGTACGGTTGTAAAATTAATCATCATGCAGCATAATTCTATAATAATTCAGCTACCCCAAAACGCCGGCTTTAGAATCAAACTTCTTTTTGGCTGCATCCGAAAAACCATACTCCGTAAAAAATGTCTACTTGTGCAGCATGTATTTTTTTCATCGATTTTCAATGCCCTTAAGCACTCAATTATATTCCATGAAAAACATGCATAAAAACATTTATGCTTTTGCTCATTCATTTGACTATTACTTCTTATTTCAATTTTAAAGTCGAACGAAGGGTATAATTCGGTTTTCAATTTTCTAATTGTGGGACTTTTAAATGCCCTGAAACGGCCGTTCATAAATCGTCATGTCTCTGCATGTACCAATGTGGCTTTTAAAATTAACAAGGTGGCTCAAATCCACCTCTCAATTTTATGAACTTTATATAGTCCCCCCTTTATTCCCGTTTTCGGTAAGCGGAAATTATACGGTTTGTAGTTTAGAAACCCTAAATGCAAGTATAAGTACAGGTTGGGTTCAAAATTATTCGGGAATTGTAAAAGTCTTATAAAAACCAAATTATACCCTTCTTTTGAGTGTAAATATGAAAGAAGACGTAGTTTACTCCCTATGAGCAAACGAATGAATATTTTATGCATGTTTTCCATGAAATATATTTAAGGGCATCGAAAATCGATGAAACAACTCATACTACATAAGTGGTCGTCTTTTACAGAGTACGTTTTTTAGATGCAGCCAAAGAGAAGTTTGTTGAAAATCCGGAGTCCTGAGATAACTGCATTATTATAGAATTATGATGCACGATGATTGGTTTTGCAACCATACTGAATAATTCTTTCCGAAACGGAAAAGCATTTCGGAATTTCTGTTGAGATTTCATGAGTTAGCCCATTTACTGTAAGTAGGGTAATAAAACTAGTAACCATGCAGCATAATTTAGTTACCGCAGGATGCTGGCTTTCGAACGAACCTTTTTTCTGGCTGCATGCAAAAATTATACTCTACAAAAAATGACATGCATTTTTCTCATTGATTTTCGATATCCTTAAAAATTCAATTATGCTCCGTTGAAACACATGGATAATGATATTAATTTTCTCCCGCTTATTCGGAAGAGAAGTACGTCTTTTCCCAATTTTATATCCGAAGGTAGGGTAAAGGTCGGATTAAAAAAGTTTCTAATTGTGAGATTTTTAATGCCGTGAAATTGCCGTTCATAAAACTCTATATCTCAATATGTACTAATGTGACTTGTAGAGTCAACAGTATCTACTGCTAACTTTTATGAATACCATATGGTGTCCTCCTAATACCATAGAGAAGTGTATAGTTTTCCTTACGCGGAAAATATGTGGCTTGTAATTCGGAAACCATGAATCCATCTGTAAAGGCAGGTCGGGGCTCAAAACTATTTGAGAATTGGAAAAATCTTTGAAAACCGAATTATGCCCTTCTTTCGAGTATGAAATTGGTAGAAGACGTAATTTTCTATCGAATATGCAAGAGAATGAATATCGTTATGCATGGTTTTCTATGAAATATAATTGGATTTTTAAGGGCATCTAGAATCGATGAAAATGTCATGCTACAAAGTTTTCATTTTTTTCATAATTTGGTTATTGCATGTGACCGAAAAGCGGTTCATTCGAAAGATGGGATCGCGAGGTCACTGAATTATTGTAAAATTTTGATGCACGATGATTATTTTTACAACTACACTTAAGTAATCAATTCGAAACGAAAGCGCATTTCGGAATTTTTGTGGACATTTCATGGGGTAGCCCACCTACTGTACGTTGGATCGAAAGGTAAACATAAAAGCATTGGGGAATTCGGCAGACGACATTTATCAATAGACGAGACAAATATAACCGCGGAAAAATTTCATTAAGTGGATAGTATCATTCCCTTCCAGGAATAATTATGAGGTGATTCAGCAATTTTTGGTGGAGAATTAATCTATTGACGTTTATGCTAATATTCGTGTGATAAGTTTCCGTCGAATTCGGATGTTTGTCAGTCACCCTTGAAAAGCAGATATGTGCCAAATAGGGGAAACTGAGTTTGAGCATGAAACGTCGACTGTGTTCGTACGTTATTTAAAAGACCGTTTTGCTTTTGTCTATGCAAAGATCCAGAAGACCAGTTAGCGAACATAAGTTTGCTTTCGATAAATTCTCATCAGGCCAGTACATTTAAAGACAAAAACCTGTCAGATGTTAAAGAAATCGATCAAAATTCGTCTTAAAACACGGGCAGAGTGGAAAAATATGGGAGGTAGGTTTCCAAAGTCAATGTCAGGGGCAGGATGAGAGCGAAAGCGCGCGGAGAGTTACATGGTTAGTCTGCTTTTGGCCACGGTAGGTGCGGAGCCTGAACGTGGTTATTCTGCGTGCATAAGATCGGTTTTCGTAACCCGATGGCTGTCGCTTCTGTATTGTTAACGGCCGCTAGGCCGGTGGCCTAGGGTAGCTCGACGGGACCTTATAATAGACGCGAAAAGCCTCGCTGGTGTACACGCTATGTTCGGAATCAATACCATGCGCGAGAAAAGCGCTGTTCGTTCTCCTAGTTTGACCTATTCCCAGCCAAGGTGGGATGTGGTTTCGTATTCTTTTGGGTCGCGCCGATAATACGACAAGTAGTGTGGTCTTACGCTCGTGGGCGTTGTTTAAATGTCCTTTGCACTTATTCAGCAGAATGAAGTTGAAGATGTAGTAGAGCATAGTTCGGTGAAAATGTCGTTGGATAAGGTGACATCTGATTATTTTGTATCGTAAAGGCTATAGACGAATGTATTCACCAAAGGAGGGGTGTGAGGATATGGGAGGAAGGGGGGGGGGTAATGGCAATCGGTGCCAGGGACGGGCGAGAATGAAAGGGCGCGGAGAGTTGCATGATTAGTGGACTTGACCACGGTGGGAGCGGAGCCTGAACGTGGCGCTATTATGGGCTCGCCGCTCGGATCCCTCCTAGTCGATTTCTTCATGGCAAGTTTGAGAAATTCTGATTAAGCGATTAGATTATTTAGCTTAAATACTACGGTCGCAACGTTGAAGACATCTTCGCAATCATCAACACAGGAACCGACATACCTGCCGTCTTAAATGCGGTAAATCGGGCCATCCCCAACCCCGAGGTGTACAACGCCTGGGGTTCATTATTGTGACCTTATCATTGAACTACGGACTCGTTTTCCTGTCGGTTGCGATCAGGGATACAGTAGGTGGGCTAACTCATGAAATGCAAACCGAAATTCCGAAATGCGTTTTCGGTTCGAAAAGATTAATTAAGTAGGGTTATAAAATTAAACGGCCTACAACACAATTCTATAATAATTCAATTACCTCAGGATGCCGACATTCGAGTGCATTTCCGTCCGGCTGCATGCAAAAACTGCACTGTGTAAGAAATGACCGCTTAAGAAGCATGAATTTTTCTCATTGGTTTTCGATGCCCCTAAACGTCCAACTATATTTCATGGTAAAGATACATAAAAATATTCATTTTTTGCACATTCAGTAGAAGATGACGATTAATGAACGGCCATTTTACGGTATAAAAAGGTCCCACAATTAGGAACTTTTTTGAAACCAAATTATGTTTGAATTATCTACTGAATGAGCAAAAGAATAAATATTTTTATGCATATTTTCGATGAAATATAATTGGACATATAGGAGCATCAAAAATCAAAGAGAGAAATGCATGCTAATTAAGTAGTAATTTTTACACAGTGTAGTTTTTGCATGCAGCCGGAAAAAAGTTCATTCGAACGCCGGCATCCTGAGGTGACTGAAATAATATAGAATTCTGTTACAGACTGACATGTTTTACAAACCCACTTAATTTATCTTTTCGGTACGAAAACGCATTTCGGAATTTCGGTTGACAGTTCATGAGTTAGCCCACTTACTGTATTTACTATGTTAGAGGGGCGCACATCGATCGCGTTACTGAAATCACTCATTCCACTATGCCTCAGGGCTCCCTCTCGATCTCGCCAGAAGCCGCGCGTAATGTAGACTCGTGAGCGAACCCCAAGGCACAGCGGGACGAGTGAGTTCCGTAACGTGCTTGGTGCGCGCCTGTCAAAAGTTGTGTGGTCGACAGAACAAAGATTTCCAATCAAAAATCAGTGAAGACGGAGTGAGTTGGACAACCTTTACTGTTTTGGAAGTGCGTACACAAAGGCTCTGTAGGCCGTCGCTGCGAGCGCGCTCTCCAGGCAGGTTGTTGTTGTCTGTGTCCGCCTTCGAGGTGCCGAGAACCAGCGCATGTGTGCATTTTGCTGTCTCCGCGTCCGCCAGCCAATCAGAGGGGGGCAGCGTTGATTGGCCTGGAGCAATTATGTCCCTCCTTAGAGTATAAAATTAGAAGAAAACGTAATTATCTACTAAATGATCAAAAGAGTGAATATTTTTATGCATGTTTTCCATTAAATATAATTGGAATTTTAGGGGTATCGAAAATCAGAGAGAAAAATTAATGCTACATAAGTAGTCCTTTTTTTTACAAAGTATAGTTTTTGCATACAGCCGGAAAGAAGTTTGTTGGAAAGCCGGCATCCTGAGGTAACTGAAATATTATAGAATTATGTTGCAGGCTGACCAGGTTTACAACCCTACTTAATTAATCTTTTCTAAACGAAAAAACATTTCGGAATTTCGGTTGACATTTCATGAGTTGGCCCACCTACTGTATTTACTATGGTAGAGGGGCGCACACCGACCGCGTTACGGAACTCACTCATTCTTCTTTGCCTCAGGACTCTCTCTCTCTCTCTCGAGTCCGCCAGAAGTCGGAAACCCGCGCGTAATGTAGACTCGAGAGCGAACCCTAAGGCACAGCGGGACGAGTTAGTTTCGTAACGTGGTCGGAGCGCGCTCCTCTACTCTTGGCAAATCGTCTTGTCGAAACGTTTTACATTTGTTTTTCTTTTCTGTTGGGAAATAGATTCATCTGCATCTCAAGGACTTATCGCTGGTTACCTCTGACTCGGGGAACGTGCGGAAACAACTGGCACGGCTTCCAATAGAAGCTCAGACTGGTGAACCAGTAAAGCAAAGGTAAGTATTGAATCCTCTAATGACTCAGCCGAAGTCTTTTTCGCTGACCAAGCGGATCATATGTTCATTTTATTAGTAGCGGTAGTATGTACGAGCCAACAAATGTCTTATAGCTCAAAATTGAAAAGTCTGTTTATGTGTCCTTTATTTCACGCACAAGTTTCTTTCCAAACTCTCAAGCACTTCTATGTTGTGTCGGTCACTCTAGGAGTCTGTTTTAGAGCAGTTTTTCCATGAGGCGATCATCTAACAGGTTCAAAAATCTAAGTCCTTAGCTTTGGCATTGGGGGTTGCAGTTGTATAGAGCTTGTCCTATTCAGTTAATAATCCATACAACAGCTTATTTGGACTTTTGTTGGGAAAGTCATTTTATACGCCTGAAACTCGATCAGATTATGCTTATATTCACAAATAATCGGCTCGGTTGACGCGGTGGGCGAACACTTAATACTTCTGTCATTTAAGACGGTATTATGGTGAACATTCAATAGGCACCGACGTTGGTTAAACGCTGTCTAATACCATAAAATGTGTTTTAGGAAAGAAAGCTCGCTTCAATGAGTTGTCGTTTTGATGACCAAGAAGTCTGGTTTGTGCAATTTAAGAAAACGTACCCGTCCCAGGCATTTCACAGGATAAACCTGAGGAGTTAGTCGTTTGAAGAGAAAGTTTACTGGCCCGAGACTGGGGCCTGGGGGTCATCGTGAAAACAATCGGTTAGCAAAGACTTCCGCTAGCGTTGCACGAGTTTGAACAAATATCGCTCATCTAATGCCCGCAGTACGCCTGTTTCCGAATGCAAGGCTGGGCATTCCGGGTGCGTTGGGTTTGAGACTTCCTGCGAGGCTCCTTTGTAGACTGCCTCATTGACGCTGGCAGCTTTAAGATTTACATGAACAAAGTTTTTTTTCTTTTTGGTCGCTTGCTTAGAAAGCTTCCACTATCCTCACAAAATGACTGCTTTCTACAAAAAATATACAAGAATGGATATGAGCCGCCGATTTTTTACCGCTCCTCATTCATGAACGATTGGTCTTAACTATACATCGGTTAACCTATTTTATTGGCAATATGCTGGTTTCTATCCCCTTTATTTGTCTAAATTAAAATCTTAAGGTCATATATACATTGCGTTAGCGCCGTTTCGAAGTACATACAATCTGACGTAATTTTCGTACCAAATTCACTAACGATTGTCAGTGATGTCGATAGTTATATTTTGTGGCTAATATGTTGCATTTTTAATCCTTTCGTGGTATTTGTTTCGTGCACCCATATCTATTCACGGGAAATAGAAAACGTTTTTGCCGAAAATTTTGGAAGATAATTTCAAAAGGAGGATTTTTTTCCCCTTTTCTCTATTTTTGATTTTTTACAATTTGGCGTTTCTTATTTGATAACAGTGACTGTGCCTGTGTCGAAGAACGTGTGGTCGACAAGATAAGGATTCCCAATCAAAAGTCAGGGAAGACAGAATGAGTGGGACAACCTTTACTGCTTGGAAAGCGTGTACACAAAGGCTGTGTGGGCAGTCACCGCGAGCGCGCTCCTGGCAAGCTGTTGTCTGCGTCCGCCTCCGAGGTGTTGTTGTTAGCGCGTGTGTGCGCCCCTCGTTGTCTCCACGTCGCCAGCCAATCAGAGTGGGGACAGCGTTGATTGGCTTCGAGCACTCGCGCGTCCCAGCAGCGTCTCGACACGGAGTGTGAGGCGGACAGGACGGCAGCGTGACAAAGGCGGAGGGTGAGGAGACGCGAACCGCCACAGTACCCCCCGGCTAGACCGAAGGCGGGGCATAGCGATGCCGAAGGAACCGTTGGTGTCTAAAAAACATGAGTGACTAAACGGTCAGGAAAGTGAACATGGCGTCCGCTACGGGTGATATATACAGGGGGCACAGGAGTAGAGTGAGTATGGCTCGCGGTTGGTGAAGGAGTAGTTCACGTTAAACATGGTCGATGAACCTCTGGAACGTTTGGGCGGCATTACGTAGACCGAAGGGCATGCGGACGAACTCGAACAGACCGAATGGTGTGGTGACGGCGGTTTTAGGGATGTCCTCAGGGGCGACTGGAATCTGATGAAAAGCACGCACCAGATCAATCTTCGAGAAAACCGCTTTGCCGAAAAGGGCTCCAGCAAAGTCCTGAAGATGAGGCACGGGGTACCGATCAGGAATGGTAGCGCTGTTGAGAGTTCGATAGTCGCCACAGGGTCGCCAGTCGCCTGATGTCGCCTTGGGCACCATGTGCAGTGGGGACGCCCAAGGGCTGTCGGACGGTCGGATTATTCCCAGTTGCAGTATGTGTTCCAACTCCGCCTTCGCGGCCTGAAAACGCTCCGGTATTAGTCGTCTCGGTCAAGCAAATACGGGAGGACCTGGGGTGCGGATATGGTGCACAACATCATGTTGAACCTCACCACTGCGAAACTGGGGGTTAATTATGTTGGGGTGGCTAAGCAGCAGTTGCCGAAAAGGACTACCAATATCTGTATCCAGGACAGATAAGTTGGTGGGGGCAGTAAATGGAGTTAGTCCACGGACAAACAGACCGGTAGTGCGGTCGAGGAGACGGGCACGTCGGCAGTCAACAAGGAGATCGAATGCGGCAAGGAAATCCGAGCCGAGGATTGCATGAGGGACATCAGCAATCACAAAGTTCCAAGTGAATGACCGACGAAGGCCAATGTTCAGGGTGAGGGACATACTGCCAAAAGTGGGAATTGGGGAACAGTTGACAGCTTGGAGATGAAGACCTGGGCTGGGAAAACGGCGATCAGCTGCAGTTGGGGGAACCACGCTGATTTGGGCTCCAGTGTCCACCAGAAAACGTCTGCGAGTCGCAGTGTCACAAACATAGAAGGTGCGACCAGAGCCGAAAGAGGTGTCGGGATGATTGGCTGCACTGATCTTCGTGCTGACCGGTTTCACCCGTTTGCTCCGCTTGGAGGTGAAGGAGCAGGGAGAGATGCAGCGACGGGCTTTAACGCCGAAGGTGGTGTGGTACCAGCAGATGGCAGCTGCGTTTGGACGGGTTGAATGTGAAGAGTGGAGATGCGGGGTGGACGGTTTCGGTTGGCTCCGACATGAGGGGGAGACTGTCTGCTTCTGGAGTGAAGCTATATCATCGGCCAGCCTGCTGAGCTCGATCTCCAACTGTGAAAGGAGAGGCGTAGGATGAGTTGAGGGAGTTGAGAGAGCTGAAAGTGACGGCTTGGAAAAGCCGTGCATCTCCATAAGACGATCAGCCATCTGAGTAAGTTGCGTTGCCGAAAGAATGCCGGAGGCGGGTGCCAAAATATGCTGCACTTCCGGTGGAAAATTGTCCATAATCAATGCCTGACTATATCGTAGATTAGGAAGATTGGTGTTCGCAAGGGGTCACCAATTGTCGAAGAACGTGTGGTCGACAAGATAAGGATTCCCAATCAAAAGTCAGGGAAGACAGAATGAGTGGGACAACCTTTACTGCTTGGAAAGCGTGTACACAAAGGCTGTGTGGGCAGTCACCGCGAGCGCGCTCCTGGCGAGCTGTTGTCTGCGTCCGCCTCCGAGGTGTTGTTGTTAGCGCGTGTGTGCGCCCCTCGTTGTCTCCACGTCGCCAGCCAATCAGAGTGGGGACAGCGTTGATTGGCTTCGAGCACTCGCGCGTCCCAGCAGCGTCTCGACACGGAGTGTGAGGCGGACAGGACGGCAGCGTGACAAAGGCGGAGGGTGAGGAGACGCGAACCGCCACACCTGCATGTGTTTCTTACCCTGAGCGCACCAACTATGAATTTACTTTTTCTGTCCAGACGTTATTGGCACAATTTGGCCGTTAGCGGCGCTTAGAAATAACACGTTTGGTCGACTAATTGTGTGAATCCATTTGTCTGTTTTTCTCCTTTGTTCAGCTATACTGATGCGCAGTGGGATCTGATTCCAAACGAAATCTTCGTTAAGCATCTGCCCGAGGCTATAACGCCATGTGACGTGCATAAGTTCTTCTCTAAATTCGGTCCAATCACAGAAATCCAAGTGCCATGGTACCAGATTGGACGATTTCCCGACCTTTATGGATTCGTCACTTTCCTTGAAACGGAGTCGGTGAGAAGAGTGCTTGAGACCCAACCCCACCAGCTAGGCGGGAACCGAATCGTTGTTGGTATGGCAAGAAAAAATTCTACGTTCTGGAAAGGGTGAGAATCTGGTTTTCAAAAAACTGCTTCTCTCTCAGGCGCAGAATTGTGTAACGATCGGGTGGTAGAGTTTCATACATGTCTCTCGCTACAAACAACAAAATATGAGTTTTAGCAAAGGCGTTTTTTGGTAAATAGGATTGGCTAATAGGCCAATCTGCTGTATCGACTATGCGTGTTCGATTACCCTGGTTCGAGTTACGATGTAAAAGATGTTTACATACCTTGCCTGTGAGGCTGCAACGGCAACATAAAAGAAATCGTCTAAAAAGTACAATGCACTGGTTTTGGTAGCCGAATTGAAGAATTCCTATCGACCCGTGTGCATGAACACCAGACAGTATAATGGAACGCGACACTTTACTGCGTGATGCTATGCCAAACTGAACGCATTTCACTGAAGAAAACCAACATTTTCGCGCCTGCCCAGCCAAGAATGACCTCGAGCTCCTTAGACCAATGCCACCAGACGAGACATTCACTAACAGATATGTCAGTTTAGATGTCAGTGACAATATTTTCTCGGGGTCGATTAAAGACTGCCACGGCTAAAACCGAACAGGTAACTGAAATACGGGAATGCCTATTGGCATAAACGACAACCAACGACAAAGTCTTTCGTTAGTTTCTGTATGGTGCAAACTGTTTTATGTATATTTTCCACTTGTTTGACCATGCGTTGGGAAACTCTTTCGTAAACTTGCTTAGTGAAAGTTACTTCGTTTCTGAGGAACTTTGACCAATTTTAACTAGGACCCTCGAGATGTCAATTTCTGAATTGTTATATTTGGGAAAAATAAAACCTTTAACGAGTAACTTGTCGAGACTAGCCCTTAAGCTTGTCGTCAAACTTTGGGAGCATTCGAAAATAATTACATAGTCTAAAGATGTTGTGGCAGAATTTGAATAATTCAAAATCAAGCATGTATGAGTTACGTAAGCCCGGTAGTCATCTTGTGGATTGTAGGTGCATTACTTAGGAAATCCTGCCTGGGCAGTCAACTTACTTCACTTTCAGTTTCAGTTTATTAAGGGAAATATAAGCGATCGCCTTTGAACTCCCTATTGGTTACAAGTCGTCGGAGAAAAACATTGGTACGTTGGAAGGTGAAAAATGGATTTTGTGCACAATCTCGGACAGCTGGTCGAAAAAGGGTAATCGTTAACGGTTAATTACTAATTACAAGTAGTATGAACACTTATAATTTGGTGCCGGGTTATGTGAGTGGACGTGAGGCTGGTAATTGGGAAGCTTGATACGCGTCAAGTCTACACTTAAAGGAATTCACACAGGAGGAGATTGCAACATCGGTAGGCAGGGCATTCCACGCTGCAACCACTCTGTTACTGAAAAAGAACTTCCGTTCATTGATTACCCTGCGCGTAGTTTTGGGGGATGACCGCGCAAAGTGGGCGTGTTAGCTTGAGTGAAATAGTCAGTGAGATCTAAACAACAGTCTAGGCCTTTGATAATGCGAAATGTTTGTATAAGGTCACCACGTAATTGCCTGTAGGAAAGGGGAAAGAGGTTGAGAGTAGACAGTCTGGTTTCATAGGGCAGTGCTCCCAGACCTTGTGTCATTTTGGTCGCCCGTCTCTGGACCTTATCCAAGACGGTATAATCCTTGGCAGTCCAAGGTCTCCACGCCTGTATGGCGTACTCTAGATGAGGTCGCACGAAGGTGCCAAATATTTTGGAAAGGCAGTCAGGGCCAAGTCTCATAAATGCTCGCCTAATGATTTGCAATGTGGCCGTAGCCGACCTGGCCGACTTCGCGCATTGCAGTGTTGGTATGAGTGAAGATGTAATCCATACACCCAAGTCCTCCTGACTGTCAACCTGTTGCAGTGGTGTGCCGTGTAAAAATTTAGTCCTGGGGCTGGAGGCTCTGAAGCTGCCGAGTTGAAGAAAGTTGCACTTGCTTATATTGAAGAGCATAAGCCAGCGCTTCGACCAGTCTTCGAGCCTGTTCAAGTTTGCTTGCAGGTGGGCTGCGTCTGCCGCCTTACGAATAACTTTCCACAATTTTATGTCGTCGGCAAACAGGATGGCATCACAGTCTAGGTCCTTGACGCAGTCATTTTTGAAAACGAGGAATAACGTGGGGCCAAATACTGAGCCCTGTGAGACGCCACTCACCACGCTTACCTCTGAGGACTGCTGACGCCCGACCTGCACACGTTGGGACCATCCAGCCAAAAAGCTCTGGATCCATACAAGAAGGCGTCCACGAATTCCAGCGTTGCGCAGTTTACACAAGAGACGTTGGTGAGGAACGCTGTCGAAAGCCTTTTTGAAGTCGATGTAGATGGCGTGCACCACATTACCTTCATCGGGTGCTTTGGTCCAGCGTTCGAGCGTAAACAGCAGATTAGTGAGGCAGGACCTACCACTTTGAAAGCTGTATTGGGCATCAGAGAGGAGGTGATGCTACTCGAGGAACTGCATCAAGGCCTTCTTAATGATCTTCTCCATGATTTTGCAACAGATGGAGGTAAGACTCACTGACCTGTATTTATTCGCAGACGCACCACTTCTACCCTTAGAAAGCGGAGTGATGGTAGCGGACTACCAACCAGAGGGCCGGCATCCAGTAACAAATGACGTTTGGAAGATCAAAGATAACGGCTTGGACATTTCGGGAGCTAGCTCCTTCAGCAGCTTGGCCGGGATTGCATCAAGGCCTGGGTAGGCCAATTCTTTTAGGTTTAGTAATTCATTTCGAACAGTTGTTTCGTTGGAGAAGATGGCTTCGAGGGTAGGCGGTACTTCGTCCTCACAAGTGGGTGAGAGAAAATCAGGTTCACTTGTCACGATGGACCGGAAGTACTGAAAGAGATGTTCAGCCTTATCCTTGTCCTCGGAGATTTCCGTTCCCTCGGCCGTTCGCAGCAGTGGGATGGGATCTTTGTTGCGTGTGCTTATCTTAGGTAGCTGTAAAAGACATTGGGATAAACCATGGCATGGTTCAAAAGAACCTTTTCAAGGGCTTTCCGATCTCTGGCGATGAGAATTTTGACCCGATTACTCTGTAGCATATAACTACTTAGGGATTCTCGCGTCCGGTAAGTCAGGGATCTTTTTCACAACTTCCTCTTCTTGTTAATTTCCTTCTTTAAGGACGTAGTCAACCAGCTGCCTCTATTTGTTAATTTTCTGCGCATGATCGGGCAGTGGTTGGAGATGAGGTTGTGGACTAACTCTTTGAACTGACACCAAACCTTTTCGACATCGCCGGGGAGAGTGGATGCCCAGTCGATAGGACAAAGATCCTTTTTCATCTGTTCGAAATCACCGGGCCAAATATTGGGTCGGGAATCGAGCAGTTTTGCAGGCAGGGAGAATATGGTGTATTCCCACATGAGAACTACATGGTCACTCTGACCCAACGGGGGGAGGCAATTCACGACGTTGATGTTGTCAGAGGACTTGGTGAACACAAGATCGAGGCAATTCATTTGTTGGCCCTCTCAAACTCTCGTTGGTAACATTACGTGCTGGGTTAGAAGCAGATTGTCGGAGGTACGCAGTAACTGCTGGTCGAATGCTGCTTCAGAGCAGT